CCACATCACAAACCCCTGCCTGACTTGGAAAGCTCTTCACAGTCTTTCCAACCATCTTCCTATCTTTCCAACAGTTTTCCAATTCAAACCCTCCTCCACCAATGACGACAATGAAGACAATGACTACCTGAGAAAATGTATATTGCACATTGAACAGTTTAGCAGAGAGGAAGGACATTAACATGTAATTAATAGATCAAAGACATTAACATGTAATTGACAGACTAGAGTATAAGTAACCAGTCTCTGTGGGTTGCCTCATTTAACTCTCACAATAACAAGGAAAGTACTATTATTTCATTTTATAGAGGAGGAAGTTAAGGCACAGAGAGATGAAATACCTTGTGAGAGATTATATGGCTAGTCAGTTGTGGATCTGAGACTTGAACTTAGAATCTGCCCTCTTAATCATTTGGATGTACTTTCTTGTGAGCTACTGAACAGATCCTCCGTTGCTGCCTTCCATGCTGATGTGCACTACTGCTGATGTTAGTCCCTTTTGCTTGCATAGTTTCACCCCTGCTTAGCCAGATATTACCCACCCTTCAGGATCTAGTTCAACTGATACATTCAGAGACCATATTTAGCCTTCTCCGAGAAACTATGTCATTTTACCAGCCTTCAGCGATCTCCCCTTTTGGATAGTTCTAAATAATCTCTATTATGTATCAGCACACTGTTTGCTGGTTCAGCTTTATTACATCTGAAGAGTAGCAGAATATGTCACCCCAAAATATTTCACTTTGGCATGAGGATTATTTTGAGCTGAAGGCAATTGAGAAGAAGCAGATACAAGAAAAGCTCTCAGAGGTCTTGCTATTTGCCTAAAAGCAGGACATAAATTTACAAAGGTGTCCCTCTTCCACTCTTTGCCAGGAATAACAGAAGTTACTTGCCAGAGACTATTCTAGAGAGACGCTTATCAGCCCAGAAATGGCACCAGAGGAACCTACAAAACAACTGACTGACTAGCCCTTAACTTCCATTAGTTCCCCCATACATTTGCCTTCCCCCAATTTGCCACGCTAGAAACTCAAAGTCCTTTTCCTTTGTCTTATCTACAAATTTCTAAAAATGTATTATTTTTTGCTAAGATGCTATACAAGCCCAAGTTCTAACCACTCCTTTGAGTTACTCATCACTGAATGCTCCCATGTGTACACATGATGTATGCATTAATAAGTCTGTTCGTTTTTCTCCTGTTAAGATGTATTTTGTCTAATTTATAGAGCCCCAGCCAATGAATAGTTTTTCCTCTCCTACTCATCTCTTTGGCAAAGTTGTCAACTTCTAAAGGATGGTAACTATGTCTTGAACTGTTTTCAGATTCTTCAATGAGCACAAAATGACTTTCAGTAGCAGCAGCAAGAATATTCTAGGTCCTGTGTTATGTACTGTACTTAATTATCTCATTTAATCTTCACTAAAACAATAGGAGGTAAATGTCATTATCCTGCATTACAGATGGGGTAACTGAGGCATGAAGAGATGAAGGAACAGAACAAGGTCATAAAGCAAGTAGGTGGAAGAGCTAGGACCGATCTCCACTTTTTTCATGTACAGACTTTAATAACTTTTTAGTCATGTCACTTAATGTTTACAAATGACTGTCTCTTTCATATATAACCATATCTTTTTTCTCCTTTACAATGAAAAAAATACTATTTCTTGTCATGGCCTTTTGCCTTCTAATATCCACTTCTTTCAAAATGGAGCTTGGAAACATAGCATTTTAAAATGGATTTAACTGAAAGGATATGATTCTCTGGCTGCTAGGTTTCCATGATATCTTTACTTAATTCTGAGCTCAGCTGATCACATCCAAATTACAGAAATACTCTTTTCTGTTTGTTTTATCCTATTATTCTTCTGAATAATTAGATTCAAAAATATTTCTCCTTGATGAATGAATGTCTATAATTTTACATGCCAGAGAAATATATCTTGTTGTTATTACTTATTAGCTATATGGGATCATGGGAGATTTTTTAAAAGGGAGGGATTTGCAATTTGGCTAAGTTGATATGAAATAGAAACTTTACAGGAAGAGTATTTGTGTTTTTAAAGTTGTGTGTAATTTAAAAGTGATTTTCTTTACCCAAGGGACTCTTTACATGATGACCTTTGTTACAGGTGAGACCCCTGCATCCAATAGTCTGTATCTCTAGTCACATGTGCATGAGCTACCTCTACACTCTGTACTATATATATCTCACACTGGCAATCAAATGTTCTAGATCATCTCTCTTTCAGTGGGAAGTGAATAACACTGTTCTAATTGGACACATTTAAAAGCTCTTTAAATCACTTTCTGATGGCACTTCATTGTCATGTCTCTCAAGGATTCACAGTTTATGTAGCTGCACTGCACCTCCTCCCAGACTCTCAGAATGTCTGCAACTGACTTCCACTTAGCTAACAATACCATCTTTTATAAGACACAGAGAAACTGACACTGAGCTCCGTCTTGACACCCAATTACCCAACTCTGTTCTTATTCTTTCTTTTCTGCATCTTTCTCATCTGCATAAGACTACACTATTTTGATGGAAGGATCTCTTTTAAAAACATATTTATAAGTACTAACACACATATACTCTTAAGTGTAAAATAATATTACAATAAACAATAACAGTAATAAGTATTTGTGGGGCCACAAACAAGAACCTAATGGTGAAGTTGACTATTTGATCTATAAACAGAGATATGGTAACAATACACGAAAGATGAATCTTACAGTATATCTTTCATGTTCAGATTACTTAGCTAAGCGTTTGCACAAAAACTTATTCGGATCTTTATACTATGGCTTCAATGATATTTAAAGAGGTAATCAACCAAATCTTGGCAAATGAAAATATATACATACTATAGACATGATCAAAAATAGTTTCTTTTTTTTTTCTTTCTATTGTAGGTGTGGTTTTAAGGAAACAGTGAAAGGTTGATAAGTACTTGGAGTGGAGGGACAAGGGAGATGGTGTGGTGTGGGAACACGATTATGTTTTTGGCTCAAAACTGGACAGACTCTGTCTTGACTCCTAGCTCTTTTCACCACTCACCCTGGAGATTCTCAAAGTCTAATCTGGGAACTTGTGAAGGCCTCTGAGATCATTTCAAATCTGCAAGGTCAAAACTATCTTTTTAAGAATACTGACACTTTTTTGCCTTTTTCTCTCTCATTCTTTCATGAGTGTATAGTGTTTTCTAGAAGCTACATGATGAACGATAGTGCATTAGACTGAATGTAGAAACAGGTAAAAGGATCAAGCGGTCTTTTATTAAGCCAGACTTTGAAGGGATTTACAACACTAATTTTTTCTCTTCTTACTAAATATTTTTTTGGGGGGAATAAGGAAGATAAAACTGCTTTTCATAAAAAAAGTTATTTAACATGTAATATAGGTTTATTATCATTATTTTAATAGGATTAATCAATAAATAATTTTAAACATATTTCTTAAATAACTTCATCAGGTGTCTGTTTAAATTATAATATGAAAAATGTCAATATCTAAAAACACAGATAAGCAAAAGGTATTTGAGGTCCTCAGTAATTTTTAAGAGTGTAAATGGGGTCTGAGACCAAATACTTTCAGAACCTCTGATTTCTACTTTACCCTGTGATCTCATTCAAACTCATATAAGTTGTGTAATTAATTAAGGTGAGATCATAGTGGAGTAGGCTGGACCCCTAACCCAATATGACTGGTGTCCTAATAAAAAGGACAGCACGTGAAGACAGCCACGCCTACAGGGAGAATGCCCTGGGAAGACTGACAGCTGCTCTGCCACAGGCCAAGGAGCTAACAGAAGCGAGGGGACAGGCCTGGAACTATCCTCCCTGGTGTCTTCAGAAAGAGCTACACCTTGATTTCAGACTTCCCGAACTGGGAGACAACAAATTTCTGTTGTTCTAAACCACCAGTTTGTGGTACTTTATTCCAGAAGCCCTAGCAAACTAACAGGACCTAACTCTAATCATCAAAAACCAATGATTCCCAAGTCTATCCATCTAGTCCAACCCTCTTTCCTGAGTTTCATATGCACGCACACCATGGCTTCTAGGACATTTCCCATTTTGACAAGGCTTGTGAAAATCAAATACATTTAAAAGTCACTAATCATTATAACCCTCCTGACGAAGTCTGTTCTATTCCTGAATTGTTTTTTTCTTTATGAAGGGTACCACCTTCTTTAATGCCTCTTTCCCTTAATTCCCACATCTAAAATCATAAGGGTCAGTCAGTTCTACCTTTTAACAACCCTCTGGTGATGGTTAATTTCATGTGTCAACTTGGCTGGGCCCCAGTGCTCAGATATTTGTTCCAACCTTACTCTAGATGTTTCTCTGGGGGTGATTTTGAATGAGATGAACATTTAACATTTAAATCAGTGGATTTTGAGTAAAGCAGATTGCTCTCCATAATGGAGGTGGGCTTCATCCAATCAGCTGAAAGCCTGAAGAAATCTGATCTCCCCTGAGCAAGAGGGAATTCTACCAGCAGACTGCCTTTGACCTTGAACTGCAACACTGGTTCTTCCCTGGGCCTCCAGCCTGCCATCCTACCTTGCAGATTTTAAACTTGCCAGCTTCTATAATCACAAAAGCCAATTCCTTAAAATAAATCGGTCTCTATATATCCACAACCTGTAGAATTCCAGTATACCTCTGCCTGGTGACTTCTGTAACCTCACTACCACTGCATTAGTTCAGGCCACCATCATCTCTTGTCAGGATTGTGATACTAACTTCATAACCTATGTTGTCTCAGGCCCTTCCCTTTTCAATCCATCCTCTATGCTTCTGTCAAAATGATCTTTCTAAGAAACCTATCAAAGCGCATCACTGTCCCATTTATAAATGCTCACAGGTTTCCCATAGCTTTCAGGGTAAGACCTTAGCAAAAACATAATTATTCACTTTATAATTCAAAATTAATGAAGTACAATTATTTTGCACTTTATACCTACGTTTGAAAAATGGAAGTACTTCATACCTTTGTTTATATCGATGAGTTGTTTCTTCTTCTTCTGGCGTTCCAACTTTTCTTGTTCTGCTTTCTCTTTTGCAAGTTTTGCCCTCCTAGTCTTCTCTTCCATTTCTTTTCTCTTGTTGTTTTCTTTCACTGCTTCCTGTACATGTAAACAAAGTGAAACAATTAATTCCTCCATTATGTACATATTGGAGTTGCACAATTTGAAAATTTATATATACCCACGTGCATGTGCTCAGAGGTGGAGAAGTATGACAGCAGCTTCAAGGTGTGTGCATAATCCTAATTTTTGAGAGAAACTAATAAATCTAAGATATTTCTTCTTGAAAAAAATTATATATAGCTCAGGCTTTAATTGCCATTACGTAGGGTGCCAGAAAACTAGAAACATGACTGTTTGCAGATTTCACAATAAACATACTTTCTCTGTTATTGAAATAGGAAATAGTTTTAATCCACAAGAAATGGTTTAATATGGAAATATAGCTTAGAAAGTATTTTACCACTTTATGTTACATTTTCCCCTTGTCTGAAAAATGTTTTTTGAAAACTATCTGATAAGATTTTTGTGAGGAAAAATGAGATGCACTTATAAAGTGCTTAGAACACTTAGTCTATGACAACGGTGGTGGAGGTGGTGGCTGTGGTGGCGGCGGTCACGATTACATCTAATGGCATGAGACAATCAGCCATGTTACCGTAGGAAAGAAACACTTGCAAGTTCCATCGCTTTTTATATGCCCAGATCTTTAGGAATGCTGAAACATATTTCAAGCTACTGTCTGTTTTATTTTGGCTAGATTACCCGTGCAACTCAAGGAAATGAGGCCATTCCAGCAGACAGTATGGGAGAAAGTTGAAGTAAACTGATCAGCTGAACTAGCAGTATTTTTGACTTCAGAGAAATCATTAATACAGAGACATACCAACTGCAAGTTCCTTCCATCAAGCTGTTCTGGGTTTTTTTCCTATTATGATTTATTAGACATACTTCATAGCAGGTACCAACTATTTCATAGAAACTATTTTGTTCCAGAAACCCTAAAGACAAGGACTCAATAATAAGAATATATTCAATATATTTTTTCTTCCTGTTAAAAGATATACTAGTTTTAAAAAGCCCTGAAAGCATTTTCAAAAAATCTCCTGACTTGCAAGAATTATTGGTACCTCCCCCTTCTGCCACTGTCACGCTGGTACCTCTAGCATCAGGCTTAGAGCACAAGACGATCTGGCTCCTGCAGACAAACTCAGACTATCACTTAAAATAAACTGGAATAATGGAATCATCATTTTAGATCAGGGTTTCTCAACTTCAGCACTATTGTCATTTTGCACGAGCCTACTCTTTGCTGTGGGAGCACCCTGTGCACTGTAAGATGTTTAGCAGCATCCCAGACCTCTAGTCACTAGATGCCAGTATAAGCATCCCTCCCTGGTTATGACAACCAAAAATGTCTCCAGGGATTGCCAAATGTTATCCAGGTTGAGAACCACTAATCTGGGGGGTTGCATAGAGATTAATTTATTCACCAAAAATTACAAAGTGCCTGCTCTGCTGAATCCAACTTCTTTTCAAGGATGTAGAAACCGAATTCTGAACAAGGTTACAGACTTGCCTAAGGTCACACATTAATGTCATTGCGAAGCTGGGAACAGAACTCTGTCTCTCCTCTCACAGTTCGGCGTATGTTTTATTCTTCAAGGAAGAAAAGACAATGTGGATATGACACCAAAAGCACAAGCAGCCAAAGAAAAAACTGATAAATGAGACTTCATCAAAACTAAAACCTTTGATCCGTCAAAGGACATTGTCAAGAAAGTGATGTGATAACCCACAGAATGGGAGAAAATATTTGGAAATATTACATCTGATGAGAATAGATAAAAACTCTCACAATTCAACAATGAAAAGACAAATAATCCAATTAAAAATAAACAAAGGATCTGAATAGCTATTTCTGCAAAGAAGACAGACAGCCAGTAAGTACATGAAAAGATGTTTGATATTATTAATCGCTAGGGAACTGCAAATCAAAACCACAGTGAGGTACCACTTCATACACACTAGGATGGTTATAATAAGAAAACAATAAAACCAATCATAATAAGTGAAGATGTGAAGAAATTGGAATGCTTTGCATTGCTGGTGTGAATGTAAAAGAGTGAGTCATTTTGGAAAGCTGGCTGGCAGTTCATCAAAATGCTAAACAGAATTACAATATGATCCAGCAATTCCACTCCTAGATATATGTCCTAGAGAAAAGAAAACACATGTTCATACAAAAACTTGCACAAGAATGTTCGTTCGCAGCAGCATTCTTAATAGCCAATAAGTGGAAAAGACCCAATGTCCATCAACTGATAAAACAATAAACAAAATGTGGTATGTATCCATACAATGGAATATTATTCAACCATAAAAAGAATAAAGTTCTGATATGTGCTGCAACATGGATGAACCTTAAAATATGATGCTAAGTAAAAGAAGTCAGACACAAAAGGTCACATATGGTATCATACGTAACGTGTGGAATAGGCAAATCCATAGAGACAGAAAGTAGATTAGTGGTTGCCAGGGGAAGGAAGCGGGGGGAATGGGGAGTAACTGTTAATGAGAAAGGGGTGTCTTTTTGGGCATGATGAAAATGTTCTGGGATTATATAGTGATGATGGTTGCACAACCTTGTGAATATACAAAAAACACTGACTTGCATACTTCAAAACGGTCAATTTTATGATATATAAATTATATCTCAATAAAAATTAATAAACATTTTAAAAATAGATGTTTGGAAAAGGCGGGATTGAAATAAAATTGTAACTTAGGAAAAAAAGACAACATGAAAAAGCAACATATATTCAGGTTCTGATACTAATAAGTTCTATTATCTCTGGTAAGTAACACAAGAAGAAGTGAGAAGCAGAGACAGAATGGAGATTAATGCTAATGTAAATTTTATGATGGGGTCAAATCTCTGATCTGGAAAACAGTTACCAACATCCGGGTGGACTCTTCCATTAGCAATCTGTTGGACTATTTAGTTGTTGAGTGCTGTCATTTATTATGAAGATGGGAAAAACTGGTAACTTCATTTGTATTTCTTCTTTATTCTTATAACAGCTACTCTTTAATGGAAATTTATTATGTGCCAGGTGTTTTAAGTACATAACTTCAAATCTTTATCAAAGACTCAAAATTTATAGAAAAATCTGCAAAGTAACTATTATTTGTTCTTACTTTACAGATGCTAAAATTTAGGTTCAGGTAGGTTAATTAAGTGAGATGCCCAAGGTTACACAGCTACTTAAGTACCAGAACCACGTATGTTTACTTAGATTACCATGGTTTCTTCTAAGTAGAGTTGCCGGATAAAAAACAGGACACTCAGTTAAATCTGAATTTTACATAAACCATGAATAAGTTTTTTTAGTATAAGTATATCCCAAACCATAGTTGGCATATACTTAAACTAAAAAATTTGATGTAATATTTGGGACACATGGAAATAAAAATTATTGATTATCTATAAAATACTTGGGATATACATATGCTAAATATCATGTAATATTTGGGACACATTGATAATAAAAACATTATTCATGATTTATCTGAAATTCAAATTTAACTGGGCATCCAATATTTTTACTTGATAAATCTGGCAATTCTATTCCCAAGAGACTCTTGATTTTTTTATATGCATCCTTTCATAGACCAAGCTTATCTAATGAAGACAGTAGAATAATTATAAAAACACCCAAAAAAGCCCAAATCCAAACTATAATTTGAGAACAGAAATGTTGATATTATCACCAATAGGCATTTATGTGGTTCATGGACTTGAATCATACTATTTCTGTAGCATTCTCCACATTTCATTCCATTTTAATTTTTGGAAATAGAGTAAAACTCAAAAAAATGTGTATATAAAAATCTAAACTAACACAATTTGGGGTAGAAGGAAAGAAGTCAATAACTAATATCACAGAATCACTAGTGGAGAAATCTGGCATCTGTGAATAGATGATCTATACGAAAGGGAGGCTTGCAACCAGCGCTACTAAAACACCGTGAATGTAGATCTGTAAACGATGAAACAGACCCGATCATAGGTCCATCAGTTTACATCTTAAAACGTTTCAGGAATAAATTTAATGTCAAAACAATCTCACAATTTGAAATGGCATGTGTAATCCTAAAGAGATCAAAAGAGAAGAGGAAAATGACATCTGGAGTTTGGCATTAATTAAAATGAGTGAAAGCATCTACAAAGTTAAATATTGTTCAAGCAACACAGCCTGCGGAGTAAGGTTCTCATTCTTACGTCATTGCTCCCGTCTTCACGAAGCGGCCTCATGCTAAAAAGAAGACCTGATTGCTCTTGGTGTTTTGACTTTTTGGCTCTGGCTTTAGGAAATTTGGGATGGGAAACATGTGCCTCTTTAATTCTCTCTACTTAAGAAATCAATTTAAAAAGAGAACAGGAAATCTTGACTATGGTTTCATGTCAACATTCTTTAGTTTTACACGAGCAAAAGATAAGAAATTTCAAGACTTTGCTTAACTCTCCTAAACATGTGACAGTTGATGGGGAGAGAACTCTTTTGAGGGATGGGATACATTCTTTTCACCCTAATTCCAATGAAACAAAACCCAAATAATTAAAAGAAGAAAAGCAGCATGAGAAAATTTAAGCTAAGAATTAAAAAAAAACCCTTAAATAATTGACTGTGATTAACAACGCTGTATATTTGCTGAGTCTCACTAAATATTTGCTGACTCATGTGTACTTCAACACGATTCTCAAGTAAGCATCAATCATTATTTCTTAGGGTTGGGGATGCCAACTGATTAGATTCTGTCAATGTACAGAACTGTGTTCTGTTAAAAGGCTGCTAACTGAGAAAGTATTTTGGTAGTAACCTCATATAAGATAAGAAATGTTTACAGAAAAAAAGTCTCAGTTTTAACTGGCATATCTGTTTTTCAAGAGTCAGTAAAAAGCATGAAAGGAGAAAAATAAAACAAAAAATGTCTCTAGGATTTAGTGCAAAATATATTCACCAACCTAATTTTAAATCTCTCACTAATTTTAAGTCTCTATTGCCTGGCTGAAAAATATGACTAAATTAGAAATC